GACAACATTTTTTTAAAAATATTTTCATTACTATATGATGTATTTATCATTGTTCTCTACTAAAACAAACATGGTTTTTAAAAGATGGAATGTGTTTTAACACTTCTGTTCTACTATCTGTAGATAACTGGATACTTCTAAAAGTTGCTTCAGGGTATAAATGTATGTATAGTTGACCCTCTGCATTTGTGTGTTTGATTATTCAGATTAGATTATTCGTGGATTTGACTAATAAGCTCTTTCTAGAAATCTCTAGGGTCCCCAATGCAACCATATGGCCAGCTTCAGCTGGACGTTGATCACAGAGTTGTATGGGAGAACTAAAGATTACTAGAGAGAATATTTCTCTATGCATTTTATGTTCTTTGGTGTGATTCTATGGTCAACTTCTGGCAGACGCTGACCATAGACTCCTACTGGAGAATCTAGAGAAGTTTTTTTATATCTGGTTTTACCACTTTTGCAGGTCTTGTGCCTCTAACCCCAGTGAATGTGAAGGGCCCACTGGATTTACATATTTTACATAATACAGAAAATTCAGATGATCATATGCTAAATATGATTACGAAAAAAATGCACAAATGTTATATGTAATTTTCTATTCTACTGAACTTCTTGAGCTGCCTGAGTACCTATATTGGAAGAAAGGTGAGATAAAAATAGACTTCTATTTAGTGTAACACACATTTTAATTTAGCTATACTTTGAATAATTTAATTGGTACCCACCATTTAAAGTAAACTGTGGATTACACTGCAAAATTGATGGTCAAGTTGCCATTTTTCAGATGTTGTCAGGCTGCAATGCATGTCAGTTGTAAGATAATGGAAGTTGCCATTGAAAAACATCTGGAAGGCCACATTTTATACACTATGAAATGAAATCCCCCCTTAGGTTGCCCTCTGAGAATCTACCTGAAATCTCACTAAAATCTTTGAGACTATTTTGTAACAAATAGTTCATGCATTATTCATCCACAGCACTAGAACTGAACAGGCATAAGTGCATATGTGCAGCATTAGGTGACTTGGGGCCTTATGCAAAATTATAATCCTAAAATGATCTGAAATATTTGACTTAAAATGTTTTGAAATGTTGGAAAGCACAAGGAATTAAGTAAAAAAGGGAAATCAGATCTATTATCTAAGGTTGCAGTCCTCAAGCATGTAACCTTGGAATGGGGTCGCTAACTTTTCTGGGGTAGTTTTGAGTTGTTTTAGAGATTCCAAGACTAGGGTTGATATCTTTCCTGTTGTCTTTGCTTCATCACACAAACCCATGTGTAGAACATCATCTGGAGTATTCTACAATTGGGTTTTGGCAGTAACATACACTTTCCAATTCCCAGCACATGCTCAAATTGTCACTTGTTTGCTTACCATTTGACATCTCTTAAATTGTACTTGAAATACTATGAAGCAGTTTGAAAATCTATGCTTGATTTGCAATGACCCTTTCACGAGTGCCAGTTAACATTTGATGTTGGAGGCAGTAAGTGAAGAATCTCCTGTGCCTGTTCATATATACAAAGACAACCTGAATGTTAACTTGTTCCACCTTTAGCTGCACTCCTTGAAATATCTTCATTGTATAACCCTGGTGTATTTCCAGCACCGTGCTCTTCATTTCCAACACAATAATCTATTCTGTGCATTGCTGACTGTTATAAATATTTTATGCATTTCACCCCATTACCATTTTCTGCACATACTCTATGGTGTTTGTGTTTACTTCAGTAGATGTCAGCCTATATTTCTCTGTATACCTTTGATGCTTTCTTCTGGTGTTATAGTAATGTGTGCATCTTTAATACACTTGTTTTTCTGAGCATTTACTAATTTGTACTCTTTCTTTGTTCAGAGTTTATAATGCTGCATTTTTTATCTTGCATGTTATGAAAAAATTATCTCCCTGTTGCTTATTTAAGCAAGCTCCTAAAGCTTATATGACAGCATGCTCATTTTTCTTTTTTAAGACAACATATTTACTTTTGAGGTATTAACAAGCATGGTTTCTGATACACACGCACATCTCTATTAATACATAGTTTGATCTAGTTTGATTAAGCTACTTTGAGCTAAAGATCCATATAGTAAGATTAATTGTACGGTATTTCAAATTTTCTAGCTTAACTGGTCTCTGAATCAAAGCCAGTTTTTTTAAAATTGTATTCTCTTCCCCACCCTGTCCTAGCTATCAGTAAATTAGTGCCTTATCTTCTCAGCTTGTGCAGACTTGCTTTCCCCCCTATGTGCCAGTGTGGCCTGCTTCCTTCTCTAACTGGTACAGCCTGTTCATTATAATGTTTATATTTATAATTATTATAATTGCAAATAAATAATTTACAAACCTTCAGTACTTTGGTGTCCCAAAGCATGGGTTCTTCCTATTCCTACATGTGGAAGGTGTATTGTGTTACGTTCTCTCCAGGGCTCAATAACTTTCTACCTTTCATTGTGTACTAAATATATAAGATTTATATATTTGCTTGTTCTTTTTTGTGGCAAAAGTGTTATGCCTCCATGACTACTTAATTCCATACTGTCTTTGTACTGTTACTAGTTTCCAAAGTATTTCCCACAGGGAGAACTATATTCTTTGTGTTGGATGAATTCAGCAATGAAAAGGGACAGAAAGGGTTTTTACTATAGTAACATTCTTACCCTCTGTGTAATCTGTTTTCACTTTAACAACTCTCAGTGTGAAAGAATGAAAGTGTGTGTATGTTAACACGAGCTGTGTCAAAAATCCTAACTTTGGCCTTTTCCAGTTATTTGGCCCATTTCTCCATTGAGTGGGGTGACTTCATTGAGTGACTTCACATATAAGCCCAAACTTACCACATTAGAGAATGAATCCACTTTAAATCCAGTTGCTTCCTCCTGCAGAATTCTGGGGTTTGTAGTTTAGGGAGGAGTCTTTAGCAGCCTCACTAAACTACAAACCCCAGAATTCTGCAGGAGGCAGAAACCAGTTAAAAGTGGATTCATTCTCTAGTGTGAAGTAGATAAATGTAAACAAACTGATTTCCATCTATAATCATCATCTTTATTTGTACCTTGCCATCATCTCCTTGAAGGGACTCAGGGCGGCTCACAGAAGCACTCCAAGTTCCACATGCAGACAACAACAAATTAGGCCAAGACTGAAAGTTCTCATGACTGCATTTTTGGAACTTCTGGCCTGACTATCCCAGATGTTCAGACTTCAGCTAAGATAGTCTCCAACTGATTATTATGAGACTGAGTATCTCTAGGGATGCAGTGACTCTTTTTAGTGCCTGCCTGACATGAAGTTCTGGTTTTGGTGCTGAAAGGCATTCTTCTGTATCCTCCTGGCACCAGATCTCTTATTCAAAGGAGTGCAATCTGACTTCTGTTACTTTATGATCAGGGCCCTTGTGATATTCATCCTGTCCATTGGTGGCACACTCCCATGAAAAGCTGGAGGAGTTAAACTCGGACTCAAGAAGTACTTTCATAGATGATCGAACTGGCAGCCGCTTCCATGCCCATTTCCTCCCCCAATGTTGTGTCCACTTGGGAACTGGGGCTTGAGCAGCAGAAATGGCTTGTGGGTTGCAGATCTCCTCCTGATGTGTTGGTAATGGGGTGAAATGCATACAATGTGTGCTTCTCAAAGGCAGCATGTTCACCTGTGCTGTGTGCTGACACACAGGCGCTCTCTCCATCCCTGCCTCTCCCCCTCCCCTTGCGCCTCTCTGTCTGCTGTGCACCTGCTCCCTTCCCCACCCCCTTCCTTCCCCGATCACTGCAGATCTCTCTGCCTCTATACAGATGCTTTCCTTCTCTAGATGTGTACTTTGTTTCCAAGTCCGGATACAATAACCGCCTTGATGTTGGTGCGCCTTTGCCTTTGCCCGTTTAGGTTGGCAAGGTGGTGTTTGTGTGTGTGTGTGTGTGTTTGGCACGGCTTCTTATAGGCCCGGAGAGCGCTTGCGTGGCCGTCCCTGTCCCTTGCTTGCCCCTTTTCTCCCCTCTGCTGCCCCCTCCGGCCTTCGCCGCCCCTGTTCCTCGCCTGTGCGCTCTTCCCGCATCATCATCATCATCATCATCTCCTCCTCCTCCTCCTCCCTCCGATGCCCCTCACTGCTCCCTGTTATTCTGGGTATTGTGTGTAATAAATGCACGGCCGCCTCACACTAATCAAGCTGATTACAAATTCTTGCGCGCCCTGTGCCGGAAACCGCACACCCCTCGGCGCTCTCTTTCTCCCCTCCCTTCGCCAATCTCTCTCTCTCTCTCTCCTTCTCCTTTCCCCCCACCCACCCACTCACTCACTTCGGGCTTTCTGGCTGCAACCCCCTCCCCCCTCCAGCCTTAACCCTCCAGCCCCCTTTGAATCCGATTCCTCTTTCCACCCCTTCTAGGTGCCCTTTCTTCCCTTCCCCCCCCCCCCCCCCCGTTCCTCCCTCTCCTCCTTCCGCACCTCTCGGTTTACTCCACCGCCGCCACCTCTTCCTCCTCCTCTTCCTCCTCCTCGTCTCGGTGCCTCTCCCTCCCAGGACGCGTCGGAGGATCCGGGGCCGCCGGGGAACAGCTCCAGGCAGCAGCAGGGAGGCGACGTCCGCCTCCTCCTCCTCCTCTTCCTCCTCCTCCTCCTTGTCTTGGGCTGGATACATATTGGGAAAAGGAGGGGGGAAATAAAAGCCCGGTGGCCTTCGGTGTTATTTTGTATTAAAATGAGGAGGAAGAGGAGGAGGAGGAAGAAGCAGCAGCAGCAGCGGCAGCGGCAGCAGCCAGCAATAGCGGAGAGGAAGAGAGGAAGGAGCGAGGGACGGCGGCAGCGGCAAGAGCAGGAGGAGGAGTGATGAGTCAACTAATAATTTAATGGGGACAGAGAGAGAGAGAGAGAGAGAAAGCGAGCGAGCAAAACGAGCTACGTCCGGGGGACACACACTCATACACACAGCTCTGTAACATCCAGCAACAACCACCCAACCGGCCTAAATCAGTCATAGCCAGCCGAGGGGACAACAAGATCACTGGATTTTATTTTCATTATTATTATTATTTATTTATGAATAATAATAATATTTTCTGGGGTAACCTGATTTCCTTTTTCTCTCCTTCCTTTCATTCTTCTCTCTTCATCCTTCATTTTGCCTAACTCTTCGGAAGTAGATTTTTGTGCCTATTTTTTAAATCTTCTACTCCCAAGTGTTTTGTTTTTACTTTTCATGCTGACTGTGTTTCCTTCCGTTCTCCCTCTCTCCTCCTCCCTCCTCTCTTCCTCAAAGCAACCTCTTCGGATATAAATAAGGAAGGAGAGGTTCTCTGCATTTTCTAAAAAAAAAAAGTAAACAACAAGGCAGTGAAACTGAATTTTAGTGCCTTTAACTTATAACTTTTCTACGCTCTTTTAATGCTTTTGTTATGTATTTTATTTTCCCTGCAGAGGCTTTATGTAGGAAGTTTGGGGATTAGTTTTTTGGGGGAGCAGGAGGCTCTATCTTTGTTTCTATGTGCTGTGTCTTATCAGAAAATCATTGTAAGACAAGCTTGATAGATTAAAAATACCAGGCAGAAAAGCTTTCCCTTTTCCCCTCTTCCTTTTCTGCTTTACACTTCTTTGACATCAGTGAAGATTGAAACAGGTCAGCATGTGTTTCACTTTTACTCTTTTTATTTTTAACATAAACTTTCCTATTGCCAGCGCTACACCATCTGCTTAAATTGTATGCCTGCCTAATTCTCCATTTTTGTTCATTTATTAATATTTTGATGGTAAGAGAGTTGCCTCTCTTACCATGGCTGTTATGTTTGGTTTATATATTTCCCCTTCCCCTTCCTAAAATAGAATTTTGAGAGAGAATTTTTCCTTAATTTTGGGAGGGTTTTGGGGGGTGGAAAAGGAGTTAGGAACCATCATTCTGCTGTTTCAAGGCATCGGTCTGCAAAGGAAATCTCCTTTGATTCTGTTATTTATATGCTGTCAAGTTTTGAAGTGGTGAGTTTCGGTTCTTTTTCTAAAAAAAATTTGCTCAAACTGCAGTGTTCCTGTTTCTAGATAGTGTTTTGCTTCTTTGTCTCTTTAAAAGGTCACAGTGAAAGCTTGGCCTGGATTATGACAGCCATATGGAATGGATAAGAACAGAGCCTCTCTTAAATGTGATTAAGGGGTTTATCTGGAGGGAGGAGGAGGAGGGGAAAGGGAAGAAAGGGGAGGGGGCTAACTCCTAAAGTGTTGAAGGCACAGGAGGCTATTCTTGTCAACGCATAGCTTGGAGAACTGAATTCAATGCTGGAAATGTTTACAGTGTTACAGTCCCATAGTAGTAGTGCATTTGGGAAACTAAATGTTGAAGCTAGTGCTTGCCCTGAAAACCTCTAAGATTGAGCAACTCTTGTACCCAAAAAGTCATTTTATCACCAGGCACAATAGTTAAGTTCATGAAGCTGTCAAGAGACAGGCCATGCTGACTTGTTGATGACTTTTTCAGGAGGGACACTTTGAACTTTAGCCTTAGGGATAGGAGTTTAAATGACTAAATCTCATGTTTTATGTGCATGCAATTTTTCTTTGTAACATCAATCTTTTTGCAAGACAACTGAGTGAAAAGATATGTCATGGATTTGTGTTGAAGAATGATCTATTTAGTATTTTATTTTGTTCAATATGCATAAAAAGGAATTGTAATCTTATCACCATTGTCACCATTGTTTGTTGCACATTAGGTAATGTTGGACAAGCATGTGATACATATTTGTTGTTGTTGTTTTACCAAAAATCTTGAAGCAGGTGAGTTTAAAAATTGTAGGAAGTGAAGGTGATTTTTTGTTTTCTGTTCAAGGTATTTGGAGGCCATCCACTAAATCTCATGGAGTAATAGAAAAGTAGTGTCAAACAAAGTGTTTTGGAGAAGTAATGCCAAACAAAGTCGATGTTAGTAATTTAGATGCGCAGTTTTAGGTTAAACAGCAGTTAATGTAATGAAAAAGAATAATCTTGATTAAAAAAAGTGATTAAAGTAGGCATATTTATTGTTAATGAGACTCATAACCAAAAACAGATGGGACCACAATCAACGGTAAACCTTTGGTTCTCAGCATGTCACCCTAGAGTGTAAGGATAAATAACCATTATATTCTAAACTTTATAGTTATTCAGCTGGCATTCTTAAGGTTGCTTCTAAACCTACGGATTAGCACACTTTTTATGAAAGGCAAAGCAGCCAATGATTAAACAAGAAACAAATTAGAAGGGGAATATATAGCGTCTCTAGCAAAATGAAGATTTTAATGAAGCTGAAAAAGTGATAGATTTCCTATGTGCTCAAAAGTGCCTATTAATGGGTTAATGCCTTATGTTGTTGTGCAATTCCTCACCCCATATTTTTATTTTAATACCCAATAATGTAAGTATTGCATCACAATTGACTGGTCACCTGTTCTTAGTGATCATGCTGCATAAGTAATTGAGCAGGCATTATTGTTAAATCGTAGTGAGGAGAAGTGTCAGATAGCCTATTACACTTGGGAAGTAAGAATCAATTTAGAATAAAAGTACGACCAAATCCTTTCACTCATTTTCGAAGAGTCAACAGTATCTCCCTCTATCTTCATTCTATTTCTTCCGGTATGTCATTATTACAAGACTCAGTGGTTATCTGTGATATGTACTATGTGATCTGGAACATGACAGTAATTTTATAAAAAGATCAATCATGGTAGAAATATTGATATTTCAAAAGCAGTTCTGTATACTTCACTACCAATCTAAAGTTATACATAGCTTTGGTTTTTTTTTCTATTCCATGTTTCTACTGGTATGCTAGTATACATCACAATTATTTCATAGGTGCTGAAAGGTTTTTAAATTGATACAAAAAAAACCTGATTGTTTAAAGAAGCTTTTGTGGGTTTTTTCTTATGATTTTTATATCAAGACATAGTTGAGCCAGCATTTTATTCTGTTCCATGTAACATGAAAACAAAAATCTACATCTTTATTTGATGTTGGTCAAATTTTGACTAAAGAAATACGGTTAAATACATTAACTATCATGCCTAGTGACTGCCAATTTAAGGTTTTGCATTATCTGTGAAAATGTTTGTGTATGTGTACACACACGCATGAAAAATCATATTAGTAATCTGTTACATGCTTAGCTAAAGTTTCCATCCTTCTTTTTCCTATGGATTTATGTAAACAACATCTTTCCTTTATTAAACTGAAATATTTTGATGAATATGGAATTTATGTCAAGACCATAGGACATACACATAAGAGACCTGTAGCAGCAGGTATACTCATCTGTGAATGCTACTGAAACGTTACACCTACTATTCTCACTCCTGAATTCCTACAATATAATTCCATATATTGGTTAGCATTTATAGTAGGTTAAGAAACCCTTAAAACTGACAGCTAATTTGACAAGTAAATTTCATGATGATGTGTTTTTTTCTTAAGGAACATTTAATACTATGTGAACATGCTATACAGATGTATTATGTACATGTGTAAAGCTGCCTACATAAAACTACGCACGCGTATACAACACATATATTTTTTTAAATCATGGCAGGTGATCTTTAGAGGCGGGACTGAGTATGGATCATTTGAACGAGACAACTCAGGGGAACGAACATTCAGAAATGTCTAACAATGTAAGTGATCCGAAGGGTCCACCAGCCAAAATTGCCCGCTTGGAGCAGAATGGGAGCCCATTAGGAAGAGGAAGACTTGGAAGTACAGGAACTAAAATGCAAGGAGTACCTTTAAAACACTCTGGACACCTGATGAAAACACATGCTAGAAAAGGTAACACAATAATTCTGATTTTGGAACATTATTTTTTAAATAATGTAGGTTGTCTTTTAGGAAAAAACATATTTCCAACATTTTGCATAACTATTATGTTTCTGTTCTACAAATATCTGATCCTTAATTCTAATGGAAATGGCACTTGGAAGATTGAACTGCATGCTTGGGTGGCGCATCTTGCTTATTTTGGGGTGGAGTCTTTTTAATAAAAAAGCAATAACACTTCCAAATTATTTAAAGGTATATTGAAATCAAACAATACTGTCAAAGATAACCCTTGTAATTGACTCTTTCTTCATGTCTTGTTGAGCAGAACACTTTTATAGCATTCAAATGAATAACAGATTTTTGGAAAAAGCTATATTTCTGCTGCCACTTTTGACATGAGTCCAAAATTGGAAGGTCAAGAGCATGTCTAAAGTATTTGCTCCTTTGCTTCAAGAAAGCAATACAGCCCTCCTTTTTCAGGGTGCTCAGTAGAAAATCCATTTATGGTGACAATTTTTTTGCACTTTGTTTCCTTAAGTACAATTCATTACTAAGCAATGAACAACTTGGGTGTCATATTATTCAGTGACTGGTTTACTGTAATTAGACTTTCTCACAAGACAAAAATGCTTTTATAGCCAGTGACTGATTGTGATATTTGTGTATTTGTAGCTGTGTTTATATTATGATTATTTTAAAATTAATAGCATGCATCATCTTTTTGGATCACACAGTCATGTTAATTTAAGTCCAGATATATTGCATATCATTTGACATTTGTTTTAACACTCATTTTTTCAGTATAATTATTTCATGTTTATAGTTGAGATTTCTTCTTGCAAAGGAAAGTATAGCATTCACTAAGACAATTAAACACACAAAGTTAGAAGGCACTGGCATTTTATTCTGATGCATAACATTTATCATACAATCATTTATTTTTTCCCTTGGATTGGCGAAAACAAAGAATATATTGATCCTAAAATGAACAGACACAGCAGTCCGTATTGTTAGATCTCTATCTATTAAAAATGGAAAAACAGCACTTCAGCAAATTCTTTGGCCTCTGCTCATGATTACCCTATTTATTGATTGTTTGCCAAGAATGTATGCATCTTAAGAAAGCCGGGGTAAGGCATTAAAAATATAATTTATTGCTGCTTTTTAAACAGAGTGCATTAATATTACACTGTAAAGCACTATGGCTGTATAAAAAAAGACTTTCTGACGCCTGCAAACATATAAGTTCCATAAATTCCTAAATAGGAGATTTCAGCTGTCTCTGGTATTATGTGATATTTGCACAGCAAACTTTAATGCCAGGACAGTTTTAGACAAGGATTCTACAGACTTCTTTGCTTCTTATGGCAGACGTGCTGTTTACATAGACTCATAAACCTTCAGCAAAACCTCTAACACTGCCTTCAGGTTTAAATCATGCTGTATTTTTAGCTTGAACACTGACCACTGCTTTCCCCTTTAATATAGAAGGTTATAAAGTTGCTGCACTTGGAGTCCTTGTCAAATACTTGCAAAAGTGATCAACTAAACTGAGATTGTGGTCTCCTGTGTAACATTTTTTGCATTTGACATTACTGATAAGCTATGGACTTTTAAAGTATCATTTGTAGTCAGTCAGATGATACCTTTTGATAGTTGTAGCCTCTTTGAAAAGCAAAACTTTTATTTTTGGTGCATTGACTTGCAGGCCTTCCACACAAATACACACACATCAAGTTCACTTTACAATTACAATATAAAATATAATTACGATGTACTTCTCTCAGTGCAATTTGGGGTATTTGAAATGATACACTGACTTTTAAAAAAATTCTAAGAATGCAATTTGTTTTTAGTAGCCAGTGGAAGGAAGGAATGGACTAAGCGTATGCATTGTATTTTTAAAGTATGAAGCATATAAATCTGTGTAGACTCTGCAGCTACTTTCTAAAATAGTGGTTCCAGACCTATCTCTTTTGCTCACATGATGCTCTATTTTTGTTTTGATGGGTCAGTACATAATCATGAAGCAATCTTTAAATTCAGAAAATGGAACCAAGGAGAAAGGAACAGTTTACATTATAACACTGGTACTTGCCTCCTTTTATTCTTGCTGGTTGTTTTACTATGAGATGCAAAATACTGGCAAGTGTTAGGCTTATGTTTCATGCTGAGCCTATTCAGCAAAGTAGAGAGAGTTTGTGCACTTTTCTTAACGAGCCTGAAGGGGTTGGTTTGCCAGGCACTGACTTCCTAGCTCACTGCAGATGTACTTCAAATGGTCATATTCATTGCAATCCTCTACTGTTTAAGAGTATAAAGGGATTCTAGTGAAAGTTACTTTGATGTCATCCATAAATCACCTTTACAAGTGTAATATGCTGTTATATACCTTTACAGGATTATATGACTTCTGTAAATGCAGAGGGCAGTGCTTACAGGGGCATTAATGTTATAGGAGTAATTGGCGATCTTAGACTCCCTGTTAAAGTAACCTTTGCCATAATTTATGCTAAAGAGTATGCCCTTCTGGCATTATGCCATGAGACAGCTCCTGTGCAGCAGCTGTTTAACCCTTTCACTTCTTGTTTGGCGAGGGACATCCCCATCACAGAAGACAGTCAGAATTTCATTGATGATTTAGCGGATGTAGGGGTTATTCTTACATACTACTTCCCCTTTGCTTATAATTTCATGAGAACAGCTCTTTTCTATATTTTATGCATTCAGGCAGATCTATTCATCTTCTATACTAAACTCAAACTAAGTCAAAATGGATAAAAACCTTAATTTGTAAGAATCACAGAAGCTTTTATGTTTAAATTTTCTACAATGTTTCAGTGACAGAGTCCCTCTGAGATCAGTGAAATATCTAATGTACAATTTATAAACATACTGACTTTTGGGATCAAATCACCATAAAAAGGGGTAATTGAAGAGTGGCACAATGTTATTGCTGTTGGAAAGTACATATAACAAGAATACATTGGTCTTCCTTAAACAGGAAATATTACTGTAAGCATTTTTCTCAGTATTTTTCTTGTTGTATGGGTGTGTTCTGCTTATTTCCAAACAATAAAATGAATTAGCATTAGGTTGGGTTTCGGTTTTTTCTTACATTGTTTTGTGAATGGGAAACTTGAAGAATAGCCAGGCAAAGGTGAATTTTGTAACAAGTAGGAATTCAGTATTTTTGGCACAACTAAGGAAGTTTTATTGTAAACAGAATTATGTAGATGGCATTTCAATGGCTTACTCTAAAGGCTTCTGCAGTACATATTTAAGTAGTCACACTGCAGACTCTCACAACAAATCAGATAGGATAGGGACAACCAATATTATTTTTCTGCAAGCAAACTTATTATTTTTGCAAATAGATATTGCATTCTATAGCAGACTTAACACCTGTTATAACATTTATTAAATGTAAGTATATGAAATAGCCTGTATTTGACAGGAATCTCTGGACAGGATTTACCTGAATAATATTTCATTTATCACTCATTCGAAAAGATACACGTAAATATTTCTCATAATTTTGATTTATTAAAATTATTATTACAGGAACCATGCTTCCAGTTTTCTGTGTAGTGGAACATTATGAAAACTCCATTGAGTATGATTGCAAAGAAGAACATGCAGAATTTGTTTTAGTAAGGAAGGACATGCTATTCAACCAGCTGATTGAAATGGCATTGCTATCCCTTGGATATTCTCATAGCTCTGCTGCCCAAGCAAAAGGTAAATATATCTTGATATACTGCAAAACAATCTGTGTTCACTTGCAAATGGAAGGATGAAATGTAATATTCTGTATTTTAGATAATTATTAACTAATGTCTGTAATGTGCTGGCAAATTGTGCTTAGATGCGTTTTTCACAACCATTTTTACTCATGTAAAATGTTAAAGCTTGTGATTTTAATGAAACAGTAATCTGATATGATACGCATTGTTTAGGATCCACAGAAATTTGAGGGGCAGATATATTATTGAGGAAGTGAACTTTGTTCTATGAGAGATCTTCTCTTTCTGTTCTTTGCTGAGAAATATATCTGCCTATATTTTGCAGTTTAATAACATATTAACAATTCTTAATGCCTTATTTAAATAAAACCTTTGCAATAATCACTAGGATTATTGCAAAGGAGAAAATGCCTAGAAAACTGTGATTTTTTAAAAGTGTCATTATATTTCAATAATTTCTACCAATGATGAATTCCTTGTCTGTGTCCTTGAGTTTGAACTTTCTCTTGTAATTTTTTTGTCTGATACAGGACTAATCCAAGTTGGGAAATGGAACCCGGTTCCGCTCTCCTATGTAACAGATGCTCCTGATGCTACAGTAGCTGACATGCTGCAGGATGTTTACCATGTAGTCACACTGAAAATCCAGTTGCACAGGTATGTCATACCTTGTGGTAGTCTTTGAGCAAAATTCGAGTTTGATATGTTGCAACTGTTCTGCTGAGTTAAGGAGCCAATCTGCCAAATAGTACCTCTATTCCTTTGTTACTGGCATTTTTCATTGGGAAAAAACAATCCACAATATTGTAGAAATCTGATATTCGCATAGCTTCGATTCATGGCTTTTCTTCTGGTATCTCATTAAAAGTATATTGCATTTTAGTCAATTAAATGATGCATTGCAAGAAGGCATTTTACATAAAGTTTACTTAAGAGAAAAATATTTTTGCATATCATGAACAGCACCATCTGTGTACATTTTGAAAAAGAATGACTTGTTCGCTCTTATTGTTGCAGTCAAGGTTTTTAAATTTCACTGTAACTAAAAGAGGAGGAAGCTAATATATTAATTCTTTTCATGATCAGTTGTGAGAAGGCATTACACCTTAAATTGTTTTACCAAGCGCATCAGAGCAGGAAGGTAGAAGTAACATGAAAAAATAGTCGCCACATGCAGCTGATGTATAATTCATGCATCAATACAGCAGATGTGTTGTATAAAGTAATTAACTAATCGGAACAATCAGGAGACTGAGAGCAATCTCCAGATGCATCTGCTTGATGTGCAAAATGAAATCTGTCTGTCTTAAAGGAATGTTCTGCAGCAGAATGCAATCTTGTAATAATCCCTTTTCTCATCTATGTCTCAAATAGTTGCCCTAATCTAGAAGACTTGCCTCCTGAACAATGGTCTCACACAACAGTAAGAAATGCTCTGAAGGACTTACTGAAGGATATGAACCAGAGTTCATTGGCCAAGGAATGTCCCCTTTCACAGGTACTTAACATAACAGGCAGTAAATGGTGAAATGCTATGGGCAACATTGATAATTTGCATGACCACTTCATCAGTTCTTAGAATTTGTGAAATTCATTTTAAAATGAATTATGAGTTATTGTATTCATTTTCATTGGAATAATACCAAAGATTTCACTGGTTTTGTGCATTATATCTTTGGACTTCATTATGGGAATTCCCTTAATAGATAATATGTATAACAATAGTTAAAAGACTCTTGATTTTGTCTGAACTACTCATAAGTTTGAATGTTGTGTTACACTAAACAAGCTAGATAAAATGTTGTTGAAAGTAAAATGTCATTCCAGCATTCCTGGAGATCTGGAAATCAGAGATGTGTTAATCCAATAATATAAGAGCGCATTTGTATAATGTGCAAAACGGATTGCATCCATATCACTCCTCACCTTGTAAAAAGTGGAATTTGAAAGCTTCTGTTATGTGATTGTTAAATAGATTGCAAATCTATCTATCTTTCTGCCTGACCATCAATTACATTTCAGTGTCCCTGAGTTCTTCAGTGTGTGCGTGTGAAATCTGTATAAAGAGCTTTTTAAGGCTTGTGTTTACCACTTTGCCCTTTTGTGCTTGTGATTCCCTTGTTTTAATGTCTTTTCCCTGTGCTGAAATACTGCTTTGGTCAATCTCAAAAATCATATTCTGATTTCTGTAACTGGGCATTTGCTCTGTAGCCATATTTATTCTTATTTTGCTGGAGTTTCCTATATTTAAGTATTATTTACAAACAGTAAGTCAAAAGATTTTTTAAAAGCCAACCGTATGTAGGTGAGTCTTTTTCTCAAGCATCTTAGATATACCAGAGTTTAGGTATCAGAGAACAGTGAATAAACTGGCAGCGGACTTGTCATAAAGATTCCATACCACTGGACCATCATGATTCACTATTGTCTCATGGCACTATGGGCCACAACATAGTCAGAGTGGGTGAAAAAGTGTCTCCCACTGTAGATGGACACAGTACTCTGGAAAAACAGGATTTGTAAATACTGGTAAAATACCTTAAGAAACCCCCAAGTGATCACTTGAAGTGTTTGAAAACACATGTGCTAATAGGCTTATAATATATGAAATGGTTCCTATATTTTAACACAGAAATCTTTACAACAGCCTTGTAAGATAAAACTGTACTTGTATTCATATACCGTAGACAGAAACTGAGAGCTGTTGGTTTAAAGATGCTTGAGGCAAACTAGTTAACTTATGTCAGATGTAAGATTTGAATTGGGAATTTCCTGGTTTACAGCTCATCCTTTTATATGCTCAGATTGCTGAACAGTAGTTTATCTTTTGATAAACTACTGTTCAGCTCTTTCACTATAAAATGGTTTATTTGCATTTGAGCTGGAGGAATGTCTTAATTTTTGTCATGTTTAGAATTGTAGTCTTAACATGCATTATTGGAAGCAAACCAAATTGGAATTAATATGTCTTGGTTCCAAGTAAAATTTGGCTCTGCAGGAATATAATACAGGTACAATAAATTCTGTTACAAATAAATTCCAGATGTTGTGAACACAACTCTTAATCTTTTTTTTAAAGTGTGTCTATATATTCTCCTGTGTTTTGAGCTGCTATGCAAGTATCTTAGAATAAATTCATGTATTATCTCATTGTAGATAGAACATTGATTTTTAAATGTTCTTAAGCTTAGCGGAATTTTTTTGGTGGGTTTAGTTGTTTAGTGATGAGGCTACTGGGTAGAAGTTACTCATTATTTGTAGCAGTTAGAAACAGAAGCATTATGTTTGCTGTACTTGCTTTGTGCAAGTATTTCTTGGATTTTTAGATATTTATATCATGTAAAGCTAAGCAGTCTCGTCCAGTTCTTTGCCTAGATGGTGAAAGCTTGGAAACAGCATGTAAACTGACTTGAGATTTCTTTTCTAAAGTAGGAGAGGGATGTAAGCATCCTTAAAATATGTGCTGGATATATCCCTTTTGCATTGTATTTTCAGAGCACTCCAGTAGTTTTAAGGTATACAGCCTCGTATTGTGGGTATGTTAGTTGGTGTGTTGAGTTCGGAAGCAAGTCCACATTGGTCAGTGGTATTTTCTTAGAAATTAGTCAGATAAACTTCAGCTGTCAGTCTTTTAGCTTTATTTTACTGCTGGTGACAGGGGAAAATATATCTTAAGAAGCAGTGTTTTTCATTATCATAAGATACAGTGGTTTCCATATTGTGGCATGGCATTGTAATTTAGATGTAGCTGATCCAGAAAGATTTAAATGATGCTGTGGTAAATTGTAAGGTACACACCTACCTTAGCTTGTATCTGTGTCTAATCTTCGTAATACTCTCAGTATCAAAAGAAATCATGTGGAATGAAACACCATTTTACTTTCCTTATACAGTGGGCCCTTGGTATCTGCTGTGGTTTGGTTCCAGAATCCCCCGTAAGTACAAAAATCTGTGGATGCACAAGTCCCGTTATATACTACAGCAAAATAAAATGATGTCCATTATATAAAATGGTAAAATTAAGATTTACCTTTTGGATTATACAGAAATGTTTTAAAGTCATGGCTGGTTGAATTTGCAGACTTCAGTACATTCTGGACCTGGAAAACAATCTATTTTTCAATAATTTTGATAAATCCATCTCCATCATGTTTTTAGGTGGGAAAAGTAGTTTATAGTTATTGGGGAAGGTTACATTCCAATTTGATGTTTTCTGGATATCACCACTATTGCTTAGGTATATAATGCAAACAGGCATAGAGTGGTGCTGGAAAAAAAATGAATCATACCATGCATAGATACTATTGAAAGAGAAAGTTTCAAGAACTGCACTTTTCTGCAGAGATTAAGAAACCTGGCTACTTCCCCTCCAAAATACATTATTTCAGAATAAATGTTAGGCTTCATATAAAGTCTAGAGTTCACACATTTATAGAGCAGTCATATTCTGTAAGACTAACAGGCATAGGGCTTTTTTAAAAATAAAAGATGACCATTCATTTTGTTAAGGTTCTTTGCAACTTATCACCTAAAATTGGATCACCTAAACCCTGTGCTGCTTCATTTCTTGGAGTAGGGAATAGTGTGTGCTTGTGTTTATACTTTTCATTTTTTAGAAAAATATACACGTTGCTAATAGCTCATTTGAACTAGAGTGGACTTGTTTCAAGTGGAATGTAGTGTTGACTCAACACCAGTGTAAATCCAAATGATTATTTGGTTTTACTCTAGTTTAAACTAGGAGTTCGGTTTTCATCAGCAGTAGGAATCATGGAATCCTCAAAGTGTATTGGATTGCAAGTCACAGCATCCCTCAGCATTAGATGTGCTGGTTAGAACTGCTAGGATCTGCAGTCCAAAAAGATCTGGAAGGCTGAATGATTTCCACACCGACTGAAGCCTATACATTTGTGATTATAATTTGGAGTGAAGGTGTAGTGATTTTGTTTGGTTCATGAGGTGAATGGCAGAGCTTTAATTTGCCTCTGACATGCACAGAAACAATGCATTCTGAAACTGATGTTTTATTTAGTCTAGTTTTTTAAAAAAAGAAGAATGATAATACCAGGACATTTTCTTTCTATTTTCTCCTTGAAATAGCATCTCTTTGGTTATCCCATTCCATATCCACCTGAAATTATGGTTTTGGCATTTCTGCAAAATAACTTCTTGCCTTTGTGGCATACAGTGTTTCCTCACTTATTGTGGGTGTTATGTTCCAGGACCATCCACAAAAAGTGAAAATCAGTGAAGCAGTATATACTGCATTCCAAGGGTGAGGCAGAAGCGAGGAGAGATTTAAAGGCACTGCACACTTTTTTTTGCTAGCTATAAGAAAGGAGATATAAGGTCGTGATTTACATACTGCTCTCTCTCTCTTTCTAATGATTGGCTGCCTCTCTCCCGAGTGGGAGGGTGAAACCCCCTTCCACACTTCATCGTTGCCAGGAGGCAAAAACCTGCAAAATAGCGAGTCCGCGAAAAGCAAATCGTGAAGTAGGGAGGGAACACTGTATTCCACCCCATCTTGTTTCATTTGGATACTGAAGTGCATGGTAGTAGCTGTGTACCCAGCCTTTGCTAAGTGTGTAGAGTTCATTAGTGAGCTATAGATGCATATTGTAGTGTTGTGGTTTGAATGTTGAACTAGGATGCTGAAGAATCTTGCTTGGCCATTAGAACCCACTGGGGTGACCTTAGTCATGCCACACACTCCCAGACTTAAAGGACAACAAAAGGCAAACTCACTTTGAACATGTCTTGCCAAGATGTTGAAAAAAACCTGAAGGCACACAACAACTAAAAAAAATACACAGATCCTGAAAGCTGCATAGAAGAATCATGTATTTTATCTAATCTCCTATGATCAAATTATATGAAACCCATGATTGAAAGCAATTTGGAAATATGGGCTCATCAATATGCAGATGACGCACAGTTCTTTTTCTCCATTGCTTCCAACATGGAAAAATAAGTAGGTGTCAGGAATTAGATCTTCCTTGACTCAATACGTAATGGGAAGAGGGTCAATAAACTGATATATTGAAAAGAGAATAGTGAATAGTTTCTCTATCCAGTTTGAGTAGTCTTCAGTGATTTTCAGTGATATACTGCTGATCATTTGCTGTTTGGAGCTACTTAGTGACCCAGCATTGTTATTAGAAGCACCAATGGTTGGTGACACACATGCATTTATCAGTTAAACCCTGCCTTGAATAAGATATCCTGGCTACAATTATACATGTTCTGGTGACATCACACTTATATTTTTCTTATGCCAAGATTGCCAGTTCTGGAGAAGTCAGGAAATGGCAGGGAAATTCGTAAAAAGTCAGAAAAATTGTGATTATGATATAATTGTGTCATTGGTTTTCTTCTTCTTTTGAGACGTTACTGCAAGAGGACAGTCTGGGCTTGTGGCAATCGAAGTTAGAAAATCAGGGCAATACAAGTATAAGGTCCTGATTTACAGTTACTTGAGACAAGTTAATTTTAAAATGTTTATGGAGTGATAGTTATTATTAGCAAACAAATAAACAAACCTCAACATTTGAGCATTATTTTATTATGCAGAAATTAACTGGATTCTAGCAACTGAGCAATTTGGCTGTTCTGAGTAAACTGAAACAATTCATTTGAAAGTGTTAGTATCTTAACAAGAGTCAGAAAACACTAGACGGATTCAAGTATTCTTACTAGCTTGCTATAACACCTGATCCTGAAATGAAAGTACTATATTCTCAACAATAATATTACATTTTTATTTTAAAAAATAGACAATTGAACTATGCAAATAAAAGGAAACATATATTGAATGTATTTTAGGAGAGGGTTGAAAACTAGGGTTTAGACTCAGTATTAGACACCATTTAGCATATAGACTCTTTCTTTTTCAAAATATTAGTTTACTTCATACTTTAAAAAGAAGTCGGAAATAATAAAAGAAAAAAATGTTAAACCAGCTTTCAGTATGTTTGAAAAAGCAATACTTTTTAATTAGTTCAATAGCCTAATGAATAATGTTTCTTGCAGGCCACATGATTGTCTTGGTCTAAAGTTGATGGAAGTCTTCCATGACCATGTATGCTTTCAGACTTTGCACTGAAGTATCCATGGTCTAAATCTCATTCTTAAAAGCTTCACAAACATATGGCAAAATGTAAGATTTTGGGGACACAAATAAATACATTCAGGATAGCCATCCAAGCAGTCTAGCTCAGTCATATGCTGATAACCCTTACTGGAGCACTGGGCATCTAGCCAGTTGTAGGCAACCTGTGAACAATCCAGTGGAGCAGATTATTTCTTTTAATACTACTCTTACCTGATATGATGTTAAAGTAACTATAAAGCTTCCTACAGCCCTCATCTCACATGCAGTGTAGATACAGCATACAATTCCATGTGCGACAGCCATGCTTTTAAAAGGAATGATAAACAGGAGATGGAGATTTTGTCTTTGTCTCTGAGATAAATTCATTGCCTTGAAAATGTTATTTTAAAAAGGATAGAAAAGACATTTTAAAAAGGATAGAAAAGATGTAGTGTAATTTTTAATGCAATTTCAAAATATGTGCTTCATATTAATGGATAACGTTGAACAAAGCTTGCATTGAAGATTGCATTTGCTCCTTTTTAAATAATTGTTTTTAAAAACTTTATTATTGATTTTAAAACCTGAATTTATATTTAATTATTTGTCAGAGCAATTAACAAAAAGTGTGCAAAAAAGTCAGAGTATACTGGAGTGCAGATTCGTTAGTTTCAGACATATGTTGTTACACTATTGCTTTGCCAGTTGCACTGGCTTGGGGTCCATTTCCAGATCGTTTTGTGCTGAAGGGACCAGACTTGATTGCCTTTTCCCACAAAGACATCCTCAGTGGTTCCATGAAATTCACTATCAAGGGAGATCTGAAAGGTGTGGCTACTAAAGACAGGGGCTTCTCAGTGACATCGTACTCTTGGAATGTCCTTCCCAGAGAACCTTGTTTGGTGGTCAGTTTATTTTCTTTGTGACTTTATTCTCCAGGGTAGTGTTGAGGAGCTTATGACAACTTTAATTCTTCTTGTGTGGTCGGGGTGACTCTCCAGGTTTTGACAACCAACTGTTTTGGTTCTGTAGATTTGTCTTTGCTATTAAGCATTCTACATGGTACTTGTATTTTATTATTAGTCTTGTATTCTAAACAGTGTTTATATATACCACACAGAACCTTGGTTATAGCGCAGCATAGAAATGCCATAAACAAATATTACAGGATGGGAGTATCTCTCTTTGTCATTTTGTAGCAGACATGTACACACTTGTCATGGCAGATATTGGAAGTTGGCACTTTTGGGCAGCTGCCAAGGCCGACATTCCTGCACAGGGCACACTGCCAAGCCCTTAGATTTTCATAATCCTGAGTTTTTCCTGTCACTTCCTCTGAGCATAGAAGCAATGACGGATGTGACGAGATAAAGCAGCATTCCCTTATTCACCTCACTTTCGTCTCTGAAAAGATTGCAGACAGAGGCAAAAGGACATATAAAAATATAGCTTCCCTGTCACTTAAAGGAACATCAGTGATATTTTTGTTTTTGTACTATGGAGAATGCTCAAATATGTGCATGCAGGAACTTGATCAACATCAATTGTCATGAAGCATGGCAATTGTGATATTTTTTAAAAAGAAAGGATTTCTGATTCCACTTGGACCCTGCTTGAGTAAACCCTAATAAATGGCTAATAAGATAGTGCTACATAAAGGTAATTTCTCTTTCCACTTCATTGACCTGTGAAAAAATAAATGAGGTAACACGGCTTATCTTCCCTCCCCCTCTGCCCTGTTATAGGATCTTTATTTACCAGACCATTAGATAACACTTGCCTGAGGGCTGGAACAGGTAATAGCTTATTCTGTTGTCAGACAGGCCTAAGACCTTGCATTTC